CGTCGTGACCATGAAATAAAAGACAACGAATCCCTATTGAGTTCCACCCGTTCGTTTCTTCGTCCTAGGTTAATAAATCTTTCCGTTTTATTCCATTTTTTGCAATCTCGCGGAGGAATCAGCAACGGTAATGATATTTTAAATAATAAACCTTCGGAATTTTTCCAATAATTCATTCGACTCGGAATCTTCTTAGATAACTTTTCCTTGCAATTCTGTCATAAGATACTCTAAGCAACGTTTCAACTCGTAGTTCTGGAAATAATAAATTGTTCAATATCTAACTATTCACTGGACAACAATCTATTCAAAGTGGAATCTGAGAACTTTTCCAATTTATAATTCTGTTTGAGATATTTTGAGCAACACTTGTCACAGTTCTATAAATAATAACTCTTCCAACTCATAATTCAAGCAATATTTCTCCCGAGTGTATGTCTTAAACAATGATTCAACCTATACATGCAATAGTTTCAACCTATACGTGTACTGTTCTATACGTACATACGTGGCCTCACGTGATCGAGAAAACTATAAACGCGTCCGAAATAGACGCGTTAGAGTAAAGTCGAACGCGGTATTCATTTAACGCTAAAAATACGACAGTGTTACGCGGCGTGTTCTTGTCCGCGGATATTCTCGGTTCAGCTCCCCGTGGCATCATGCTCGCCGAATAAATTCTCTCGCCTCCGTTCTCCATGGAGTCCGTGCAGGTGCCGCTCGTCCCGCCCGCCCCGACACTCTCGAAAAATCTCACGGGCACTCCATCGTACAGCGTCACGTAACAACTCGTGATTAACCAAGTGATTAACGTTAACCGGCGCCATTAACAACAGAGGACTATTAACCTGGGGCTAGATCCCGCTACACGAGGGCGCTCGTCTGTTGCCTACGCCATTGCTTTTCTCATACATCAACGCATTCTCATCGTTCGAGCAGAGAAAACGTCTCTGTTCGTCGTTAACCCTTGGCAGTCCTACGTCGAGTCAGACACGACGTTCTATTTTATTGCAGCCTCTACCTGTTTTAATAATTTTTTCTATATTTATTAGTAGCATAACAATTGTATCATTCAAAGGTAACATTTCAATGACTCACAAAAATTCTTGAATAAATAAATAGAGCGTCATACGAAGCTGCAATTGAACGAACTAACGTCGACGCGAACCTCAAAGTGAGAAATCAAGAGCACTTCGGACCGCAAAGGGTTAACAGTAAAATAAGCGACAAATGTTCGTACACGGGACCTTCGAATCATTTTACTCAGCTGCGAAGCATGCGTTGTAGACATTTTTTTATTAGAAGACTTTTCGTTTAGAGCATTTCATTGATTTCGTTGGAATTTATTGTGTATATTATAATTGAAAGACGCTTATTCGCTTCAGTGATGTTTGGTAATTATTTTGGGTGGATAATGAAGCTGGACTTTCATGTTTTCGATAGGGGAAGAAGTGTTAATGTAGACTTTATCGATAGACGGCTCTCGGATGTTACGAGTAGCAAAATCTTAGTGCCATCGAAACACTGTTAATGAAAATAAACTCTGAGAATAGCTTCCATTCACGTGCGAAGTGCACCGAGATTGACGCGCGAAGGGGAAGGTCGTATAGATCGTTGCAAAATATACGGTTTTAAGAATATATTCAACGGAGAACACGGGGGAATTGTTCAATTCGGAACGATGCGAAATCGAAGCTCCTATTAATAGGATTAACGCGTTAATTGCCGATTGACAGAATTGTGTAACGAGTCACCCGGAAAAATGCTTGAACTCAATTTATGTGGCAATTAATCTGTTAATCTATTAACCCTTTGTATCCTGAAAATATGTACTATATATATTATAGTATATCATTGCCAAATCGAATACGCTCAGATTGCAAAGCACGTCTGCATTTTGCGTACGTTGCTCGGGAACTATCAGACCTCGAACGAGACCTAGCGAAAGGCACGTGAAACCATTCAGGAAATAAAGGGTTCGAAAGGGCGGAAAACACAAGAGCGCGAATCGAGTTAGGCGGGCAAGATGAGACGGGTCCGTTTCCGATTTTCCAGGAGATTTGCGACGAGGAGGCGCAAGCCGACGAAACGTCCGAGCGAGATGACGCCACTCTCGACCAAGCGCCCTCCCTTCACTCGTCCCTCGAGACTAGCATGCCGTCCTTGGCCGACGTTTCCCTGCAAACGGGGCAAAGTTTGCTAGCGAACGATATCGTCGAGAAACCGCTGCAGCTGACCAAACAAACGTCCACCAATCAGGCGGCCGAGTGCCACTCGTTGACCACGCAGACAATGGACACCAACGAGAACCCCCAAACCCAGGAGACCATAAAGATCCTGAAGAAAACGGACGGCGATCACGAGGTGATCGAAATAGCGACCAAGAACGTGCCCTCCACGTCGGGTCAGGAGGTCATCCAAGAACGGCCGGCGACTCTGCCCGAAGACATCGTCGTAGACATGAAGTACAAAGACCCCAAGAACACGGAGACCACCACCAGCGAATTGAACATCGTCCACGCCGCCCCTCAGTCCTTCGAGACAGTCCTCGTTGAACCCGACGACGTCACCACCGAGGTGGTCGTGGACGAGGACGGTTCGAAGAGGATCATCGTGCGGAAACTGAGGAAAACGACGGTGACCAGCAGGCAAACTACTCAGCAACACCTGTCCTCGATGTCCACGACGGTAGGGGATGCCCCTTCCGTGGTGCAGGCCTTTTCAGACGCCACCCTAAGAGACCAACAGGTGACTGTCACCAGGACGAAGCCGAACGGCACCGTGGAGACCACCACGAGGCAGGTCTACGGAGGCAGAGTAGCTACCGGGACACCTTTCCAGGACGTGAACGTCGAAGAGTACGAGTCAGCGCCGAGGTACACGCACATGGTGACGCAAGGCAACATCAGGGACGTGAGTCCCCAGCCTCTAGAGGAGGGGATGCTGCTGGAAGGCGGAGAGCTGCAGGCGAAGACGTCCAGTGTCCACGCAGTGGTGCAGCAGGTGACCAGGCGAGTGGTCAGGAAGACCAGAAGGATCATCCGCAAGGTGACCATCATCGACGGCAAGGAGACAACCACGGAGGAAGTGATCGAGGAGCCCGACGAAGTGGAGATCGACGAGAAGAGCATACCTCACATCAGCATCAACGTGGTGAAGCACGAGGAGCACAGGCAATTCGGCGCTGACGGCCAGCCAGTGGAAGAGAAGAAGCGAGAAGAGATTCCAGTGGAAGACAAGGGAAGAAAGGCGGACAAGAGCTTCGAACTGGACGACGTGCCTATGCAGGGACCATTCTTTGGAGCGTTCGCTAAGGACATGCCGCCTACGGACTATCTAGCGAGGAAGGACACTCTGCTGGGCGCTAAGAAGGAGGGTGTCATCATCGAGGAGGTAGTTTCGGATTCAGAGGTGCAAAGGGAGGATATAGGAAGTCCTGGTCGACCCGTGGACGACGATCGTAGGGAGCGAACGCCGGAGAGTCTTCAGGAATCGCTGACAGAGAGAACGGAGGATGACAGGAAAGCGTCGAAGCCGGCTCAGACAGCGGACAAATACGAGCACGAGCAGTTCACGATCGAGGTAACGGGTAAAAAGTCTCTTGCCTCGGCTATCCAGGCGTTCATCGATGCTGAAGTATCCGGTTTCCAGAGTCCGATGCAAGAGATCAAAGTGCGAGAGACGCTGGAGGAATCGGTCGCGTCGCCGATCGATTCCATTGTCTCGGACATGCTGACCGTCACGAAGGCGACCTGTAAGTCTGTCGATGCACCCGTAACGAGCGAAACACCCGGTATCGTGGTAGATGGTCACGTGGTAGATGTAGAGCAAAAGCACCATGACACCCTTGGCACCGTAGACGCTACTGACGAGGCGGTTGTCTCCGTCTTAGACGAGAAGCGTTTGGTCAGAGAGGCTTTCGAGGACGTTGCGCTGGAGGAGGTACAAAGGGAGGTTGCAATTTCAGGAGGAAGAGCCGAAGAGCCTTCGGAGAAGCCTGAAATGCCCCGAGCACACCTCGAAGGATCGACGTTCCCAGACGTCGACGTCGACGACAGGAGCAAACCGGAGGCGAAGAGGACAATGATGCCGATCGACAAACAGCACTTGGTCAAAGCGTCCTTCGACACTGATCTGGACTTCGAGTGCGTGGACGAAGCCTTGAAGCCGGAGTACAAGCCTATCTTCCACAAAGTGGAGATCTCGCTGGCGGTGAAGAAGGAGGGCGAGGAGATCCAGCCTACGGTGTCCGTGAAGAGCCAAGCTGAGCCGATTGGCCCACCGTATCGCATGGTGAAGGAGGACGTGGACATCCGTCTGCCAGCGGACAAAGAGACCTCGGTGATCCACGATAAGATCGTTCAGACGTCGCCAATGTTGTCGCAGCAAGTCGCGACGGAGGAGAAATCCATCGGTGCTTCGGAAGAAGTTATGTCCGACAAGTCTGTCGTCGCAGCGTTAATAGAGACCTCCGACAAGTCCGTCATCACTTCTGACAGAGAGTCGCCATTCGATAAGCCAGTCGCTGGAGAGACAAAGGAACTTCACCCTGAACCAATAGAGTACGAAGACGAAGAAAGTTCACAGACGAAGTCGCTGGAGACTAAATCGAGCATCTCGCTGATCTCGAACATCGCCGACTCGGTGGAGATCAACGTGCCGCTGTCGGACTCCTCGAAACACGTGAGCGAGACGCCGCAGCCGGACATCGGGGAGATGATGGACTCGCCGGAATTCGAGTCCACCTTGAAGGACGACACTTCGAAGGGCGAGGACGGTTACCAAGCTGACGACAGAACATTGATGTCCACGGCGACGCCCGAAGATGAGAGCGTGGCGAAGAAGAAGAGGAGGAAGAAGAGGAAAGACAGGATCAGGGGTCCCAAGGACGAAGAGCAGTCAGAGTTCCCCAAGACCACGACCGACGACGGGGAGTTCAGCGACGACGTAGCTCCGGTGGAGTCCGAGGATGCGAAGGCCACGAAGAAGAAAAAGAAGAAAAAGAGGAGAGACGATAAGGTGGAGGCTCCTCCGGTTCCTTCGCTGAACGAAGCGGATACTCAGACTGCTCCCGAAGGACACGTCTCCGTCGCCACGTCCCCGAGGCAGGAAGAAGTGTCCGAGATCCACGTGCAGACTTCTCCTCAGCCCGCCGAAGACGCGGTAGCTAAAGTGGAGAGTGTTCACGAGGAAGTGCAAACTTCCCCTCGGCCTGTTGAAGAAGCTGCGGTAGCTAAAGCGGAGGACGTCCACCAGGAAGTGCAAACTTCTCCTCAGCTTCTGGAAGAAAGCGTGGTACTCGAGGTGACGAACGTTCACGAGGAAGTTCAGACTTCTCCTCAACCTGTAGAAGCTGCGGTAGCTAAAGTGGAGGAGGTTCACGAAGGAGTGCAGACTTCTGGAATACCAGGAGAGTCTCGGGAAACCCAGGTACCCAGAATAGAAGCAGTTCACGAGGAAGTACAGACTTCCCCTCAGCCGACGGAAGAAACTGTAACAACCGAAGTAGTCGAAGTTCACGAGGGAGTGCAGACTTCCCCGAGAACATCCGAGGATTCGAAGGAAACGCAGGTGCCTAGGATCGAGGAGGTTCACGAGCAAGTGCAGACTTCTCCTAGAGTGCCGGAGGTCTCGAAGGAGACGCAGGTGCCCAAGGTAGAGGAGGTTCACGAGGAAGTGCAGACTCTGCCCATGGAAGAGCCGAGAGTAGTGAAGGTAATCGAAGTCCACGAGGAAGTGCAGACTTCTCCGAGAACGCCTCAAGAGGCGAAGGAGACGCAGGTCCCCAAAATCGAGGAAGTTCACGAAGAAATTCAGACTTCGCCCAGAGCGCCGGCAGACTCGAAAGAGACACAGGTTCCCAGAATAGAGGAGGTTCACGCAGAAATCCAGACTTCACCGCGTGCGCCGGAGGAATCGAAGGAGACGCAGGTGCCTAAACTGGAGGAGATTCACGAAGAAGTGCAGACCTCGCCGCGATTACCGGAGGAATCGAAGGAAACTCAAGTACCCAAGATAGAGGAAACCCACGAGGAAGTGCAGACTTCTCCTCGCGCGCCGGAGGACTCGAAAGAGACTCAAGTGCCGAAGATAGAGGAAATTCACGAAGAAGTGCAAACCTCTCCGCGGCTCCCGGAAGAATCGAAGGAGACGCAGGTGCCGAAGATAGAGGAGGTCCACATAGAGATCCAAACGTCCCCGCTGCCTGCTCTGGACTTCAGCACTCAGACCACTCGAGAGGAGACCCCAGAACCCGAGAAGCCAAGCGTCCAACACACCGAGATGCAGACTTCGCCGATGTCAGCCGTGGACTTCGCGGTTCAAGCCGTGGAGGTCCCGCAGATCGAAGAGTCAGGTACCCAGACATTCACAGCTAAAGTGGAGGAGTACGCTGCCCAGACCAGTCCGATGGAGGAGCTCGTTCCTCCGGAAACCGAAGAGATGCAGGTCCAAACGATGGTTACAGAAGTGGTGTCCATGGAGGCGCAAACTTCCCCCACAACTCCGCCGAAGGAGACAGAGACGCAAACTATCGAGAAGACTCTGGTGACCGCGGAACAGCAGACGACGCCTTCACCGGTCGAAGAGAAGGTCCTGACAGCTACCGCTGTCCAAACCATCACGCCAGAAGGGTTCAAGACCATCGAAACGGAGGTGCAGACCAGCAAAACGCCCAGTCCGGTGCAGAAGACCACCGTGGACTTCAACATGCAAGCAGACCTAATGAAGCAACCATCCACCGAAGTGGTGGAGACGCAGACTACCCCCGAGGAGAGTCCCAGACCAGCCGAGATCCAGGAAACGGAGTCCCAGACGATCTTACCCGAGCCTACCGAAGAGACCATGACGCAAACCAGTCCAGTCAGCGTCTCGCCGGTCGAAGTGGACGTCTGCGAGCTGTCCGCTCAGACCAGCCTAGAAGAAGCCAAACCAACGATGGAGGGAGAGTCTCAAACCAGCTCACCGGGTAGGATAGAGACCCTGGACACTTCGGTGCAGATAAAGAGCGGCGAGCTGGTGCCACTCGTTGAAGAGAGCACGCAGATCGTCCCCGAGACCGCCGAAGGCAGCGCACAAACTCAGACAATCGAAGAGAAGAAGCTGACGACGGTTTCCCAGCAAACTGACGGAGTTCCTGATGGAGTTCCTGATGGAGTTCCTGAGGAAGCCAGCGGAGGGAGACCCGTGGATGACAAAGATGGAAGCCTGATGCCGACTGCGCCGATGGACACAGTGGACGCATCGATGCAGAGGACGCCCGCGAGACATACTGAAATTCCAGTAGCACCTGATGCACAAGTACAAGAATCCGGAGACGACGTCAAACCGGCGCTGAGGCCCGAGTACCTTGACGGAGTCCCGGAACAAGCGAAGACGAAAGAGGAATCGACACCTGAGATGTTGACTAAAGACACCAGCGCGGACGCGTCCCTCGAAATATGCGTGCAGGCGACCATCGAGCTGTCGGAGGCCACCGACAGCAGCAAGTTAACCGATACTCAAACGACAGACACTTCCGTGGACACCACGACTATAGAGGAACTGAACACCGCCGCGAAGGAGGACAGCAACGCTGCCAAGAGGCAGAAGCGGAAGAGGAGGCACAAGACCATAGAGATCTCTTCCACCGGCGACAAGGACCTGGAATCCATATTTGGTCAGCCAATGGAGACTCCGGACGTTTCTCTGAAACTGTCGTACTCCGACGTTGCCAAGAAGAACGCTGGCAAGGAGAAGTCTCCTCCCGGAGACGGCCGGTTGGAGAAGGTGCTCGAGCAACCGGACGACGTTCCGAAAGCGTTCGTCGAAGAGAGACCAGAGAGGCTCGAAGACGTCCAGAGTACCGCAACCTTCGCCATCGCGGCAGAGCCAGTCGCAGTCAAGGAGACTCAGGACATTTGGAGCCTGAGTAAAAAAATCGACTTGCCGGAGATTCAGCCAATCATCAGCATGCCATCGCCGGAGCCCATGGACACCTCCGAGGAGCCGCTGTCGCCTCTGGAGACAGCGCTCCAAGAGGAAGAACGACCGAAGATCAGGACGTACGCGGACATCATCAGCGAGTCCTCCAAGAAACCCATCGAGAGGGAGCAGGTTTCATGGGAGGTGTCCCAGCAGTCCGCTCCCCAAAGAGGAGCCAGCTCCAAGGCGTTCCTCCTGCACGAAGCTATGGAGTACGAGCCTCCCCATCAGCTGACTCAGAGCAATCACATGGCGAAGGTGATCTCCGACCGAGTGCAGAGTATGAGGAACGCGAAGCAACCCAGCCACCTGGGCAACATCCTGCACATCGCGCACCTGGACAAAGTGGCCAGCGAGAAGCTGGCGGAGGAGCGTGCCGCTGACATTCGCAAGGAGCTGTCGCACCTGAGAGACGCCGCGCAAGAGAAGGACTCGCTGGCGGTGGAGGACACTCTGGTGGTCATCGTGGAGACCATCTCCACTTGGCTGGAAACGATCGAGTACAGGATCTTCCTGAGCAAGGAGTGTCCGTCCGGCCCCTCGCACGACGACAAGACCTACGTCGAGCTCAAGGACGAGGTGGAGAACGTCGAGGAGAACATACAAGAGCTGAACCACGTGTGGAGGCAGGTCGAGTCCAACTACCCCGGAGAGGACCGTGCCAACCTGCAGGACTGCCTCGACGCTCTGATGCACCAGGTGAGGATGATCGAGGATGCCACCACTGACGGCGAGAGGTACCTCACCAGCGAACTCGCTAGGTGGGACGAGTTCGTGAACGGAGTGCACAACATGTACAGGTAAGTGTTTCGTGTGAACGATTTTATTTAACCCTCTATAGGCTCATGTAACGAAGTCACGTGTCAGTATAGTGGCATCTTGTTGATTTATTTCATTTTGCACTCAAAGTGGCGAATAAAATGAAGTTTAACGTCATTGTAACTTGAAAGTTACGAAATATATTCGTTTGATGAGATTATAGAAACTATTGAGTATATTGTTAATTCGTATTCATATGTGGATATTTATTAATTTTGTACTGATGTTTTGAACAAACATTCGGCCCATAGAGGGTTAAGTAACAATTCAAACGTGAATCCAACTCGAGTCGCAAGACGGTGAATCTAAACGAAAGCTTGGTTCGTTTGACAGATTGATCGAGGAGCAGCGATCTCAGCTGAACGAACTCATCGAGCTGGAGACGTCCACGCGATGGAAGCTCCAGGAGCTCGAGAAGCTGGAGAACATGAACCGCTGCCACATGTGGAAGACAGCCGACCTGCTCACAGCAGCGCACGAGCTGCTGCGCAATTATCCCGGGAAACACATCCCCGAGGAGACGTACGCCGCTCACGAGACGACCAAGGCGATCGAGCACGGCATATGCATCGAACGCGAGCGTCTCCTGCAGCTGCTGGCGCTGGCCGAGGAGTACGAGCAGACTCTTCGGGAGTTCGCTCAGATCACGGAGATCGCGGAGAACCTGTTGGCCAGTCCGATCTCCGTGATGAGTCTGGAGCATCTTCAGGAAGAGATGCAGAAGCACAGGAAGTTCTTCGTCAATTTGAACCACTGTCGAGCGATCCTGGAGTCGCTGGAGGGCAACCTGGACCCTGAAACTAGGACCAAGTACTCGGACCTTCACGAGGAACTGCACGGCAGAGCTACGGCTCTGTTGGACCAGGCTGCGTCCAGGGCTCAGCAGATGGCTTTAGCTGCTTCCAGGTGGATCCTCCTTGAACAGGGCGTCAAGGAGGAAAGGGGATGGCTGCAGGTCGCTCATCAGAGAGTCCCCGACCTTCAGACTGTCACCTCGACTGACTACGATCAGTACATCTCCTTGTATCAAGTGAGTATCAGAATATCGGTCGCTTCGAAGTTTATGCGGTTAAATTGAGTTTTTTGTAGTTTCTGATGTTCGTCGATTTTAATGGAATGAATATTCTTTTTGGTTATTCGAGGATTCACTTGATTCTTCCTTTTATTCTAGGTCAGAAAGCCCTTTTTATAGCTTCTGAAAGTGTATAATCATTTTAGAAGTCGAAACATTCATTTTTCTTTTGTAGACAACTTAATTGGCTTCTGAGCGATATGTTAATATTTTCGTTAGCCTTCGACTTAGATCGTTCCTTGAACAAAACGACTACTTCTAACTAACTGATAATGTCAAAGCCTTTAACCCTTTGCTGACGAAGATTCTTCAAAGAACACGAAACCTTCAGCAGATTCGGCCAAATTATATATCGGATGCTTAAATAATAGAGAAAGAGGAAACCATGCACTGATCTCTTGTTATTTGAGTTATTAAATCATTCGTTCGCAACTCAGTATCCGAAATATGAACGTTTAAACGGTAAAACGTCGACAATCGTCCGCAAAGGGTTAATTAGTTTGTCACGTAGATCATTTCTTCTATTTCCCATAGATTCCATTGCTTCGACAGAATGATAGTTCATGTACGAATCAAAAGCTAGCATATTTGCTGCATTTTTTTAAAGACGTGTACATTACGTAAGAGGATCAAGTGTCAGTTTAGTAGATATCAGATGTCACAGTAGAGATGTAACGCGAATTCTTTCTCCAGTCGCTGGTGACGGACGTGACGACGCATCACGCCAGGCTTATTCAGCTGCTGAACGTGGCTCGCAGCCTGCAGGAACTGATAGACATCGAGGATCCCGAGGATCGATACGGCGAAGCTTTGGAAGTGATCGTCAAGCTGCAGGACAACGTGGAGTCGTCTCTGAGGAGATTGCTGGCGTTCAGAGAGAACTGGTACAACCAGGAAGCCTTGATGAACCGCGTGGAGAACTGGATGACGGCCGTTGAGAAGGAATTAGAGACCATCCGTGATCCTTCCGGTGGTCATATACGTCAATTCTGGGTAAGAATTAAGTAACACTGTTACGTAACGCGGAACTTTGACTCGTCCGTCGCGCGACTTAAACAGATGCTACTCTGCATACGAAAATGTCGGTTTTATAGTGGAATATTGTGTCAGTCTTTATTTAACTGAGACAATAAGTGAACATATCTGTTGGATACAATTGATCGGGTCGTAATGGACGACTACATTAGCTTATTTCATAAATATCGTCGTAATGGACAACTACATTGGCTTATTTCATAAATATCGTTGTGGAAATCGAGATCCGTCTTCCTCTTTAATTATCATTTCATCCAGTCGAATCCATAGCTGTCATTGCCAGTTCTATTTCTAACAGAAAATGTTAAAAGTCTCGAGTATCGAGAAGTAACAATCACGGGACAGAAAAGAACTAGATCTCTCTTCTCGAGGAAGATAACTATAAAATCATATCAGCAGCGGAAACTAGAACAGGAAGTTTCTGCAACCGCGACGCATAGTTTCCTGTTACGATGATTATTCCTACTTACTTAAGCATAAGATTCCTTGCAAACGAAAGGATACACTCGTTTCCTTAAAGACAAGCTTACCGCGATTTCCTGATGCAACTAAATCATATACATCGAAAGATATTCAGCATAATCCCAATTACATTCTCCACTATATCACATAATACAACCTCGAACTCTCTAAATCCAGGAACTGAAGGCCCAATACGAGGTGCACAACAACATAAGAGAAGAAGCGAACGCCAGCTTCGAGCAAGCGCTCAGGATCATCCCCCTGTCGGACGAGATGCTGCAACGGCAGTTCCACGGCGAGATACAGGACCGCTGGAACGACGTGTCGCAGCAGATCACCAGCATCCAGGAGGAGGTGACCAAGGACATCTCCTCCGAGGAGACCTCGTCGACGGACAAGCTGAAGCTGCTCGAGCGGGAGCTGAACGAGTTGCGGCTGACGATCGACGGTTTCCACGGCGTCCTGAAGACGGAGGAGGAGCTGGACCTGTACATCGAGCGTCTGTCGGTTCTGTTCAACAGGATCTCGTTGATCCAGGACGAGCTGGGTCGTCTAGGCCTGCTGACGGTCGCCGAGAGCGAGAAGGTCAGCCTCCTGTTGCCGTCCGCTCGTCAGATCGAGTCGCAGATCACCGAGGAGCTGGACGCCGCGCAGCTGCTGCGCGAGAGGCTTCAGGCGATCCAGCGGGGCTTCGGCCGCATCCGCAAAGCCCATCAACGGCAATCAGCTGTATTGGACCAGTGCGAGGGTAGCGAGCAACAGGGGAGCGACGTGGTCGCGGCGGCGGTGGACCGCTGCCAATCGGTCGCCGACGAGCTGGCTATTCTGTGGCAAGACATCATGGGCCTCAGACAGATGCTGCACACTCTGCCCACCATGATGATGCGGGTCTCCGTGTCGCCCGTCAGCGTCGAGCGCGACATCTCGAACCTGCAGGACGCGCACGCCGAGCTGGAGGCGAGGTGCACGCGCCTGCTCGCGCTGCTCAAGAACAGGCTAGCCCTGTGGAGGCGATTCGAGAGGCAGCTGGAGATGGTGCAGCAGTCGGTTCAGGAAGCTGACTACATGATGGAGCTGCTGACCGTTCAGGGCTCCGTGGACTACGACAGACTCCTCAAGGCCACTGAACGTCTAGAGGTGAGTCTTTCAGTTTCTGGCACGAGGATTTATTTCGTTTCACGTGTTCGTTAGGCTTGGAACTGTACCTCGAAGTTGAGCACTTTAGTCGATAATTGTTTCCGATGCTCTCTGGGGCAGTATTTTCGCTGGTTCCTCCGTGGTAGCCTTGGAGACTTAGGTGCAAACAGTATCTTCAGGTCTGTTTTGATTCGTAGCAGATTCGTCTTTGTAGAATCAGTGCTTCGTGTCTCGAATACTTTGACGTTTGGATGATCGGACAGTTTGATGGATAACACTTCACTGCCACGTCACCGAAAGTCGGGTGACGGTTTGTACATATATTTACACATGGATTTTCTTGTTAACATGTCGAATGAGTTTTGTTGGATGCGAGAGACATAAGAGATTCTAGAGGAATTATTGCGAGGAACCTTAACGTTGTAGTTTCCGTTGAATTGAGAAAACTGTCTCAACTGCATAGAAGTTTCGCCGAGTGTTCGCTTGGCAGTCGAAGTGTTAAATCGTCTGGTATCCATATGCACGTCGAATACTCGGTACAAGCGATCGACGCAAGTTCCGGTCCGAGCTCGCCACTCCTCTTTCTTGGTTCCGACGAAAAAAGGTTGTCTAGAACGACTGAAAGGTTCGCCGCGGGAATGCAGGTCGCTCGATACCACCCCGAGCTCCAGTTACTCGAACTTCTGAAAGTTTTAACGCATTCCGGGCTCTGTCAACGACTCGAGGAATGTTCGCCGGGACTCGTCCGTGCCATCTATCTCGGATACTTCGAATCATTTCATTGTGACACCGGGCTAATCCTCCCCCTCACGAACTCTCCGTATAACGGGACAATTAAACCCCCGCATCGAATCGTACTTCGATTGGAATTCACGCTTGATTCACCCTGAAAAGGCTGGGCCTGGACTAGCCCGGCGACTGCCAATGAGGAATACCGCTTGCATACCCAATCATTCGTTACCTGTGTATCGTTCTTTCATAAATCATTCGAACGTCTCGCATGCGACGAGACAACGGTCTTCGGTGTCCTGTAAATCGTCAGCTCCAGAAGCTCGTGTTCTTGTACAATTCGCAAAGTATACCTAGAACTATACTTAATCTGTCTGCTTTCCAAGCTTGAATACCGAACACTGAAAACGAACACATATCTGTACTCTTGACAGTTCTTTCCCTCGGACTAACGATTTCTTTGGAAGATCAAAGAGAATTAAGTGACTAGCTAAATCGGAAGACTAAAGAAATATAAAGTAAAGAATCAAAACGATAGAGATTGACCTTGCACATTTTCATTTAACCAGTTAACTGTGGAATTTAGTTGGAGAAACCTCTGGTTCTGCGCGTAATGAAATCGAAAAATGAAGTGTGTACTCGTCGAACGCAGGACGAATGCACGTAGAGTATATTTCAATGAAAGATCAAAGCGAAACAAAGAAGAGTTACATGTTTACGTGAAAAAATAAAGAATTCATCGCAGAAAGAATTAGTACCGTGTCAAGCTTTACGATCACGTGTATACTCGTCAAACACAGTTAACCGATTAAGATCTCCATAGATAATTCAATCTTCGATAGAATTTCCAACGGTTCGAAGCTCTCAATCGTTAAGCTTCGCACAGCTTATCCATACTTTCAGAATGAAATGACTCTTATTTATAACACTCGGAATATACAAGATCCAGCACCTTGATTCGCTACGTTCGCCAGGCGTCGGGCTATAGACGGCAATTACGTCAACGCGCGTAACTCCCGCAGCGCGAACGGTTCAATTTCAACGTTCCAGTCGCTAAACGGTCCCGGTACCAAACGCTTCCCGTCGGAACTGCACTTGTACCAATCGGCGATCGATCGATCGATCGGGGAACCGGAAGACGCACTTTCCAACGCGGTAACCTTCGCCACGTGCGAGAGGAGCGCGGCCGTCCGACGCGTGCGCGTTGCCGTCCTGTGATCGGCGTTATCGCGGCTCGCCTATCAGTGGCACGAGTCCCGTCGTCGCGTTCGCATCGGCCGTGCGCGCGCGCGCGTTCAAACGAGACGCTCTTCTCCCCGTCCGCGGAATCAGTCGGTGCCCGATTCTCCCTCGATTCAATGAGCAACGATCCCGCCGATCGTCTCGTTTCCATTCCCTCCCAATCCCGATCGGTTCCGTCGCGAGGCCAGTGGCAAATGGGGACCGGCGATCGAACACGGCAATTTCGCGGACGATCGAACGATCAGTGAAATGAAGAATGAGGCGCGCCGGTTCTGACGAACTTTCCTCGCAAGACCGACGGGACCGTCGACGATACGTCTGCTCGCCGAGGGCCGAGTATGTTTGCGCTCGGCACGACGAATCGGCTGCTCGGAAGTAAGCGTTGAATATTCATACCTGTGTACTTATGCACAAGGCGTCCGGCCAGCTGACGATTTTCGTGTCTGTTCCGCGACGATTTCGACGCTCGCCGTGCTCGCCGGGACGCGACGGTGTTACGTCGCAACACGTAACCGCTCGATCCGTCGTTCCTTCTGCGTTTCCTCGCCTCGCGCCGTTGATCTTCGTGGGAATTTCCATCTCCGTCGCGAGATCGTTTCCGAATGTGGTAGAATTTATTGAGACAACGCTCGAGGATCTAATTCCTTTGGTTTCTTCGATAGAGATCTTGACGAATCCCAGTTGAAATGGGATTATACTGAAGGACGGTTAAGGTAACTTGGTTAAGTGTAACGTTGACCTTGCGTTTTAGATTTCCAAGTTTTTGCGGGATTCTTGACGCGACGATCGAACGAACGGCAGTCTATGTTTCACCGATAGATTCACGGGTCACTTTAATTTCGGATGAAACGCGGAATTCTCGGGTTTCTTCTTGAAACGTCTAATTTAGCAGTGTCCGAGGTTTCTCTTTGAATACACAGGATAACGTCAGCTTCCCTGAACTTTCTTCGGAAAATGATTCCTCGATCGAGTGGTTCCGGGTGGAACAATCGGTCGAGCATCGAAGACTTAACAGAGAAATTCGCACGATCGTTTCGTAATTCCATTCGAGATGCAATCTTTCCGTTCGCCTGTTCGCTGTAGTTTGCTTTCGTTCTGGCACCGTCCACGGGAACACGAATAGAAAAATAGACCGGCGGCGAGACGCAGAATGTTTTGTTTCGCCGATGCTGTCTCGTAGGTCGTAATCCGTTGTGTACACAAACTGGAACCGATCAAAGAATACACGCGCGAACGCGCGAAAACGGTTGAGTTATTTTGAAAAGATTAGAACAACAGCTGTCCTCGAGACAGTTTTAGCTTGAACGGTATCGATGGCTGGTTACTGGAAGCATGGAACAATTATTAACACTGGAACTACCGTACCAGTCAAAATGACTGCTTTCAGTTCTTCTGTTTCGCAATTATTCTTCGAAGCATCGAATGTTCGAAACGATTTTGAAAATAAAGTTTCACCTGAATACCATAATGAATATGTGAAGACCGAAAATAATCTGTTGCTACAATATTCATAGCGATTACGTTTCGATCGTATCAAATGCTCGGTAGTTCTAGTGTTAAACTGCTGTTCAGGCGTGTACATCGGGTTCTAAAGAAAAAAACTGAAATCGAATTTGATGATGCTCCGTTTCAAAGTCCACAAAAAAATCATTGATAGAGGGAACGAGATTTAGTTGCGAATTACTGAAGAGAAATCTGAAATATTCCAATATTATGCTTTAATGTGTCAATAATTATTTCGAGGGACCTTTGACTCCGCGATAACGACTTCACACGGAAGTTTCCAAAGCGAACGATTACTGAGAATGTAAAAGCAGAACTGGTAATTACAGTAATCAGCAACAGGTCGGTCGGAACGAGCCATCCTTCAAGATCGAATCAAAGCCGTCGCGCGTAATTCGTCCGTCACATTTCGCATAAACGACGCGACGCTCCTCGGTTTCGTAAAATCGGTAGGAACCTTGAAGTCTCGATTACTAGAGAAAATCGGCGTATCTAGTCTGCAATTGATCACTTCTAATCGACGCTTGACGACAGAATCGAGGATCATTAACGTTTCCGAAACCGGTTAAAACCTCTTCTTACTGGAAACAGTTCCTTTCAAGTCGCACGAATAGTCTTTCAAATTTATCGTACATCAGCGAATCTATTATTAATATACAATATTAATTAACACGTTACACGCCGACCACGCAATAACGCCGGATTTTCAGTCTATCGTTTAATCGCTAGTCCTACGACGTAACATTTTAGATACGTACACCACAAATCCAAAATGAAATCACAAACTCGAGTTCCTTATTCTGTTCGTAAGTCACAGATTTCGGTTCGATCGATGTAAAAATATATTAATACAATGGCCGACGCTCGCGATTCTAGTAGCTGAAGTTTACCCAACGCGCAATGTGTTAATAAACAGATCATCGATCACCAATCATCGTAAAACGTTCAGCTCGTCGCACTGCTTGCTCCTGCAGCGCGACGTTAGTCGGCGAAAGTACGTGTCACGGATCTAATCGATCGTCTATGAGTGTCATTCGCCGAAACAGGATGCTCGAAATGAAAATGTGCGGTTTATAAATAGAAATGATACAGTCGGGAGTTTTATCGCCGAGCGAGGAGCTCGTCTGCATACATGAAAATGCAGGAAAATGCGGACCGGACGAGCGTCGCTCGCTAATCCACTTTGATATAATTACGCGGATGACACAAACGACCAAACTAGCTGAATCTACGACGCAGTGATACGGCACGTAAACTGTGCCACGTGGAAAAGCCAGCTGGGCTCGCCTGTTACCGATCGCGATCGATTTGTTCACGGTTTCCTTCCGCGTTTCCGACTGCGCGCCGAATTTCCAGCGATGATTTTCAACGACGATCACCGGCCGACCGATCGACCGTTCAATTTTTATGTCACCGTTTACCAGCCTCTGCACAGTTAACACTAGAACTACCGAGCATTTAACCCTTTGCACTCGAGAATATTTTTCGCAAGAAATGTTCCTTATTTTCCGATGAAGTATCAATGGTATTTTTTACAAATTATATAAAGAGATATCTTGCATGAATTAAGTGACGAAACTATTTTATTTCGATGCATGTGTTGGTAGATTATAAAATAATTTAATATTGAATTTCAAATTTTATCCTTTCGTTGGGTCAAATCAAATGTGCAAAGGGTTAATACGATTAATATGCAATTTCTGTAAAAATTGTAACAATAGATTATTCTCAGTTTCTTCAGGCATTCATTGTAGTGCTCAAATGAAACTATTCATTTTCAAGATCATTTTGAATATTCGATGCTTCGAAGATATCAGTAATTGCTAGACAAAAAAAATCGAAACCAGTCATTCTGAATGGTACGGTAGTTCTAGTGTTAACTCTCGACGCGCGTCGATTACTTTAACCGTGAAAGAATTTGCTCTTGTACCGGTTTTTTCGAACGATTCGACTGGTTCCAGTCTACGCACAACGTCGCTATTGTGTTCCTTAACACTTGAGGGAAAGGTTTCAAATTGTCCCAGTTTGTTGGCAGTTAATGCGTGGGATACTCGTTCGATCGCTAGACTTTGTTCAAATTATACTCTTACCGTGCTCGAGTGTTTCTTTAAAATCGGGCTTCTAAGGGTCAAATGAGATTAGAAGAGAAATTGTAAATTATATTGTATGGATCATTATAAATAAAAGAATACTATTATCGTTTCTTCAATATCTAAACTCAATTCGATAGAAGTATCTCATAGAGACGCGAAGAAAATCGGCATCGGTAAATTCGTTTCACCAATTAGAAGGTTCCATTTCTTCAAAACAAATGACTCGAAGCTTACACTTTATTGATACTAAACGTACGATGCATTGAATCGCCTAATAAAACGAGAAATGTTCGGGAATCGTGCATAGGTAATTAAGACTATGTTGAAACTCTGGAAACTTGTTCGTTCCAGTCCAACGTGCTCTAATTCGCTTCGTTTTTCTGTGCGATCGTCAGTTTCACCTGGCCAAGTGTTCAGAGTTCTGTTTGCGCATTCGTTGGACGCGTAACTGCTTCCTTTACGGGACACCGCGCTAGAAATCGCATCGGTTCGAAGGCAAAACGAGGCGGAAGCTTCCGAGCAACCGCGACTTCCTGTCCCGCTGCTTATCGCCGCGTTTCCGGGCAGAGAAAAATCGAGAGATCGGCGTCGCTCGGATCGACAAGTGCAGTCGCCGGGGAGTAGACGGTGGCTTCTTGAAATAGACGCGGCTGGACCTCGATTATCCGAATGAATCGCGGGAGCGCGCTTTGATGAGTTCACTTCCTCGATCTTGCGCGGATATTCTTTACCTACTGTTCCTAGAATGAATACTCGCTTTAACGAAGTTTTTTTTTTCCTGTGATGTAACACGAACGCGTTCGAAGTGGCAGCGATATTCTAGAAACTGAATGAATCGTTTGATAGATGCGCCGATTCATTTAGTATCATTGGTGCTTCATTGATAGACTGCTGTGATAATTTTACTATGTGACGGTGAAAATGAAACCAAATTCGGTATCTGCAATGTTTCTATACAATGATAGATCAAACCAAATTTGATATTTACAATCTAATAGAACAATGGACACCAAACTTCACGTGAATATTTAATATTCACAATTTTAGAACAATGGAAATAAATCAAACTCTATGCTTCTATTACTTTAAACCTACTTTAACACTAGAACTGAGCATTTAACGTAAAAATTGTAATAGATTATCTTCAGTTCCCTCGGACATTCATTATAGTATTTAATTCAAACTATTTCCAAGATCATTTCGAATATTCGCTGTTAAGATATCAATAATTGCAAAGAAAGGAATCGAAACCAGTTTAACCGGTACGCTAGTTCTAGTGTTAATAGAACAAGACAAAGATACGGACGAAATTTCCAATGGAAAATGAAATGGAACCGTTCCTTAAGCACGAGGACGCGATACAATTCACCTTTAACCGTTTGAACCCGTAACACGGCCGGGTCGGTTGAATATTCAACGAGACCGCGTTGGGAACGTACCGTCGAACTTCGAAAGTTTACGTCTGCGCGGGAATCTCGGGTTCGGGCCGCGTCGATTCGATTTCCGCTTACGGTTTCGGTGGAAAATTCTCCTCGGCCAGGTGAACGAACCCGAGTACACGGCACAGAATTAGTCCAACGACCATGCTCTGACCGAATTCGAGGCGCGAGCGTCGAAACGTGCTCTCGGTCTCGTGACTCAAAATTATTTATAGTTCGTATTTAAGGAAAACCGGCGTGTGTGTGCATTCTTCGGCCGAACACGCGGCCCCGGAATCCGATTCCGCGGCGATCCGTTCGATAATCGTGCGAATATCGCGCCGATCTCGCATTCCTCGGGTCGCATGCTTCCTGTTTCTCGCGTCCGCGCGAGGAACGCGAGCGCGACCCGCGCTTCCGGAATTTCGTAACAGGTGAAAATTCCGCTCGGAAATCTCGCTGCGAAAAACGGAACTCCGATCGTGATTCTCGTCGGAAAAATCGGTAGCGTTGTTATTACAAGGATAATTAATACTAAATTTAGCGGCCCGCGCTTCCGGAATTTCGTAACAGGTAAAAATTCCGCTCGAAAATCTCGCTGCGAAAAACGGAACCTCGATTGTGATCCTCGTCGGAAAAATCGGTAGCGTTGTTATTACAAGGATAATTAATACTAAATTTATGAAGCCCGTCAATTTGACGGATATGGAAGTTTCTCGGTTATTTAGAAGATTTAAATCGCCTTCGATTCGTGCAATTATGGGAATATTGTAATAATATAGTTTCGAAGCTACAATTTCTGTAGGACCTTCGAGCTAAAACATTTGCAAACATTCTGTAAGCTTCATGCACCGTAGAGTGTCTTTAAAAAACCGATAATCTATTAACACGTTGAAATGCCGTTTATAGCCGTCCGATGCTCGCGAATGTAGGTGCAAATGATGGCAATGGCCGTGTCCTATATTAGTATTATAAATAGATCAATATAATAATTTCTCTCTGAATGTATAAAACCCCGATCGAACTTGCTAAGGATCAACTGATTAACAAAAAGGAAAGAATTGCTTGTATCGATCATCGCCGATTTCAAAGCGAGCGTGTTAAGCAATTCGACAAACCGTGAACGCGTTAAACGCCTTCAACTCCAGAGAAAATAAGAAGCTAAGGTCACCTGGTCGAATTTCGGTGGAGCCTAATTTCCAGCTGTTTGCCGGGCAAACACGAAAAAGAGGAACGCGTCGGCGCCGACAGTCGAAGGATTAACCGAGAATCGTTGCCCGAGGGTCCGCCGTGTAAATGGCTGCTCGCGATTATCTCGACAATTATCGTTGAAATGATATTCCTATCGGCCAATTATCCCGACAGAACAATGGAGGAACGATCGAGCGAACCGCCCGCCCGTGTCCGCTGCTCCCTCGATCGCCGGTTGCGCAAGAACGCGATCGCGCTAGATCGCGAGGAATCGGCGGAACCGCGGCGCGTCGCGCCGGCTGCGAAATATCATCGTCGATGCGTCACAGATAATTTTAATCGGTTAGCAATATCCGTGAAACGCGGGCAGCGCGATTTCCCTCGGCGGAACGTTTATTCCGTGACCTCGAATCGCAAATTAGAGAATTTCAAGCAGCGCTGCGCCCGCATTATGCATACAATACGGCGCGTCATTAGCGTGGCCGATCGCTAAACGTCAATGTCGCGAACACTTTCCGAGGGAAATAGAGAAAAGAAAGTGCAAGCAATAGAACAGACGGATCGAGGGACCGAGGATCGATTAAAGTTTCATTGGACCACCGGGTGGTCCGATGGAAGTCCTTTAGCGAGCTCTTCTTTGATCCGCGCGCGGTAAACAGGCTGATTAAGTGAACTTGATTGAACCGTTTAATTGATAGCAGTATCTGGCCTCTATAAGGGACATGGCAGGCTAATAATTCCCAATTCCCCGCTGTAAGAATCGATCGGCGCAGTTATTAGCCCTTGAGACGCGTTCTCGGTCTAGTCAATCGCTTGATTAACCTTCTATCGTGGGAATTACTTAATTCTCTTTGTGCTCGATGTGTTCTGCGATGTAATTCGTCTGTACCTCGAGGAATATTAAATCTTTCCGTCTCTAGTTGATTCGTCACTCGAGTCTCCGTTTCTTATTCAACACCGAGGCTCCGTATTTTCTCGAACAAAACGCAACGCTTTCTTTCGCGAACGTCGGATAAACAATCTCGCTTGTTCGATCGATACTCCGAAGATCGTGTTACTCGAAGGGTATCACGAAAATATCGGTTACCGTACAGACGAGACGCGGTGCTCTCTTTTTCGACGGATTCCTCGGTGTTTCTGCGTTTCCGAGCCGCGACGCGTCGGGGAGACAGCTCGGAGCGCTTAAATCTGGCTCGTGACGGAAACGGCCGAGATAGAAGTCTGTCGGTGTGCTGGTGTGTTTACATGAACGCCGGGTTTTATCTCTTTTCAGGGTCTCAGCGGTGATTTGGGCGCGCGAGAAGTTCTCATTGGCGAATTGCGAGAGGCTGCCGAACCTCTGCGGGAGGGTTGCGCTGCAGAGGTCCGCGAGAAGGTCGAGGCGGCGGTAAATGAGGCCGTACAGGCCTGGGAGGACACCAGGGCCGAATTAGATGCCCTTTGCACCAAGTATCAGCACGCCTGCAGATTGTGGCAACAGTACAAAGACTCGAGCGCTGCGGTTAAGGCCTGGGTGGACACGCAGATGGACAGCGTCGCCAACCTGCCACCCGAGGAGGCCGTCAAACACATCAAGGTACGCTACCCCGACCCCTGCACCCCTTGCTCGACCCTTCACCCTTTGCACTGTAATTCTTTGTGAACCTGACGATGAGTTTCTTTGATTCGTTCTCTCATCGGATCTTGGCTTCGATGCGAAATGTACATTTCATCCGGTTTTCCTACCATTTTTATCGATGCTTTCATTGACAGCTACCGATTCCTTTGTTTCGCGATCGTGGATGTCTTGAAGCCATTGAATGTTCGAAATGATCTTGAAAATAGTTTCACTTGAATACTGCGGTGAATCTCTGAAGAGCACCGAATCTATTGTTACTATTTTTATTGGGATTGCGTATTATGCTCGGTAGTTCTAATGTTGATATGATTGTCGCTATTTTTCATTGAACATACGTTTATAATTGAAATTGTTATAAATTCTTAACGAAGCTTGAGATGAAGGAGTAAGTTTCCGATAATTCGAATGTTAGTATCATTAGTCCAAGATTTCTAACATTCGAATTTCATTTAAAGCCCAAGAACTAGAAGTTTTTTACAAGAATAGCATTACAAAGTGGCAATATCTCTGTTTTTATCACTGTTTACAAGACAAATTCTTTTGAACTATATTTCTACGTTTATTCCTGTACATAAATAAGTGCAAGCTCCTTTATTCTTCTTGTACAGTTTGCTCTACACTCGTCCCCGCAGTCCCATTTATTTCTAAAGCTTATTTCCAGCCAGCATAGAACACGCTAATTTCGAAATCGGGGAACAGAAGTATTCGAAACGTAGACAATGGAGGAAAAGAATGTCGAAACGTGGAAAGTTTTATGGGTCTTATATTTAGCGTTTGAGTCAGCAGATAAAATTTTATGTGTCCATCGGTCGATACGAGTCATCTGATTTCGAAGTAACGCTCCCAGTTGTTTCAGCGTTTCATGCACGCGTTTCCATGCATAAGGGATTGTTAATCCCGGTGTATACGAAACCCTAAAATTCTATTCTGCTCCGTCCGAGCGGTTAATTGCATCAACAGACGTGACTCATCGGGGCACGCCGGTCACTGAATTTATTCCCAACGTAAGAAGTACATTCGCTGGGCAAATACGGTGAATTAACCGAGCGTTTTGTAATATCCGACGTTTTCTAATAAACGAGGCACTAGGAGGAGCCTCTGAACAAACATTTTAGCGTGTTCAAACATTACCCACATTCTCCGTTCAAACGTCATTAGTCACCTTCGGGTAAATTCTCGAATTGTTCGCATCTCGGCGAAGCTGTTTCAGAAATAGAAAAATTCGAAAAATGTCCGTCGCAGTGTATACGTGGCATCGATGATATAATGTGCATTATCAAAATGTGGCAGCGTTTGTACACATTGCCGAACGAGCTGTCCGTCATGATTAGACAAGCGATGAATTTCGCACCTATGAGCTTATCACGCCACGTGCGATCGATATTCAAATTTCAGACATCTGTGAGAACACTCGTTTAGCTATTTTAGTCGTTCTTCGTAGGAATTAATTGTGTTAATTGATCGTTAGGAGTCTTCGTTGGATTTGAAATCGTTTGAAATAGAAATTTCATTGAAATTTATTTTAAATGTCAGTTTGTGTTTCTGTTTCGTTCTATTTGGTGACCTTTATTTATGTTTGAAAGGTTCGAAGACAGTCTACGAATATATTGTCAATGTTTACAAATAGAAAGACGAAAGGAAACAGTCCGTGTACAGATGAACTCGATGCACGTGAAATTCACTTTCTCATCGGAAACCACCCCTTCCCTGGTAATTGCACCACAATTACCGGAACACCCTACATTCCACTGCTCCATCAAAACTTTGCCGCAACGTACACCCTCAGAACCATTGACCTACATACATTTTCCGAGCCGAAAATATTAATAATGACTCTCCCCTCAGATTTCAGAGATAAATAGAGGTCAATGTTAATCGTAATTTTCAAGCCGAGATGAGATAATGCCGCTTCTCTATTAATATTTAATCTTTAGAATAAACGTCACTTTCACCAAAAATTCCTCTTGCTCAACGATCCACCACTCCTCGATCGACTCACATAAGAATCAACTCCCAAAAACCAACTATTATTTTCCCATTATCAATATTTATTCTTCAAAATCAACGTAACTTCACTATCACCACAAATCCCTTTCTATCTTCAAATCCTTACTCCACAGAACATCACCAGCTTAAAAATCAACACCCAAAGTCAACTAACATTCCTCCATTATCAATATTCATCCTTCAAAACGAACA